GCCCTCCGCAAGCGGAAAAGGGGGGATTTCGTTAGCGGCCCCCGGAGGAAACGTCTTCCCGCCGGGAATGTGCAAACGGGATCTCGGTGCCGCTCGGGATCGCGTCCTCCAGCGGCACAAGGAAGCGTTTCCCGCGTGCAGAGCGCTCCGGAATTGCGTTTTGCACGCAGTAAACTCCCAAAACGTGGGTGCAAACCCCCCGTTTCCCTATCCCAGGCCTTGTCTGGAGCCGGGATGCGCCTGCCATCGGAGCGTGTGGCGAAGTCGTGCGGCGCCAGCGATTCCCACCGCGTCCTCTGCCACATTCCAGCAGCTCCAGAGCCCAAAATCCAACTCTCCTCGCTCCAAATTAACACCGGCTTAATGAGGTGTTTTCCCATAGGCTGGTGTCCCTAAATGCCCAAGTCGTTGGGCATGCCGGGGTGCAAGGCTGTTCCCGGAGCATCCAGCACATCCAACATCACCTGTTTGGCACTAAAACTGCAAGAACTCGGACTAGAAGCATTGGATCAGCCTTTGCCTTACCCCGACCTACACGCTGGCTTTCCTATTTTCCTCCTCCTTTTTCCACCTCTCCTGCCGCACCTGGAATCTCCGCCTTCGCTCCGCAGAAAACACCCGGATTTAGGAGGAGGTTGGAGGGATTAAAAACCCGCGGCGCTCAGGGCGTTCCCCAAAACGCCGCGTCCTTTCGCCACCGTTTCCCCAACGCTGCAATGCCCGAGCTCCAGGCTGATCCGGAGGATCCATAGGGCCCTATTCCTCCCAGGATCAGGGACGAACTTAAAGCTCCCACGGCCAAACCTGCCCAGCAGGTTAAGGCAGCAGCAGGAGCCGTCTCCAAAGTCACTCCTGCCCTTCCCGGAGCTGCGAACGCGACGAAGGAAGATCAAAACCAAGCGCCCTGCAACTCCCCATTAAACTACTCGATTAAACACAGAGCAGCACGGCCAGGGAAAGGCCAAAAACACCAAAAACAGAGAGCCGCAGCGCAGCGCTCGCTCCGGTGACGATGAACGGGCAGCCAAAATGAACGTAGGAGCAGGTAAATTCCCCCCTTCTGCCTCCCTCGCCGCAGGAATCTGCAGGAGAAACGGAAGGCCAAACTCCGGGCCGGGAGTTTTGCTGCCGGGTGCTACGTTTGCAAATATTGTGCAAACATTAAAAACAAAAAGAAAACCCGTTGCAATAAGGCGGAATTAGACACTTCTTGTTTCCGGCTGCAAACCTTTCTGTGATGAATGTCGAGTGAAACTGGTTTTAATACACTCCTAAGGTGATGCTGGAGCAGCAGAGCAATCCTCGCCGTGGTTATGGATACGGAGGGGTCTTTTCCTGGGGCTTCTCAGGGAAACACGGCCGTTCTGTCGAGGGAAACCACAAAAAAGCAGCACTCGGGACACTGGAAACGGGGAAAAACGCGGCCCGTTGTGTCCCTGCCTGGGAAGCGTCGCTCCAGGGAAGCTGCATCCAAGCAGCTCCTCTTCCCGTTAAATCCAGGCAGGAAAATGCAAGATCCCTCCTGAGCACAACCTGGTTCGGGGACACGCGCCGGGCTCCGTGGCTGCTGCCACCCCTACCCGAGCGCGCGGCCAACTCCTCTTCGTTAGCCACGTTCCTAAATGCACAGCCTTAAAAATAGCTCTTTATAAATCCTCTGTCTCCCTCAGTTTATATATATAGCCAGATACACAAACATTATATATTTAGAATTACGTTAGCGGATCTCCAAGCGCATCCGTCCCGCTCGAGCGCCCTTCCTTGGCCACGACGCAAGGGGAATAACCGTAAAGAGGGAAAAGCAAGACACCAGAAGTACCCAAAAGCCATTTTCTCCCCAGATCAGGGATTTCTTAGCAATTCCAACAGCTCTGAAGTCCATGGATGTGTGATACTGGTATAAAATGTATCGGTGGAAGTTGCAAGGTGCTTGGTGGGAAGGAACATTCACGGGATAGTGGAAAACACGGAGCACTGAAATCATCCACCCGAATGTTTGGGTGGCTAAAGGCACACAGAACTATCTGCGTGCAAAATAAATAATATAAATAACATAAATAACATGGAGGGAGCCTATGGCTGCTTCCACTCACCTACCTGAATCTAAATATATATATATATATATGTATATATATATATAAAATGCATAGATATTTATATATATATACACATAAATATATATATATGTATAGGACAACCTTTCCCAATGGCACGTGCAAAGCCTGAAGTCCAATGGCCTTATTTAATTCCGCTCACCTACTTCTCCAGCCCACTAATTATCCCCAGGATGCAGCCGGGAAATCCAGGGCGATCCAGCTCAGAAACGCCGGATCCCGTTCCAGAAGCTCCTCGATGGAAGCAGAGCACGAGGAACCGGCTCAAAAAGTCCAGATCCTGCCCGGATTTAGCAGAAGATGACTCCAAAACTCAGCAAATCCAAGCGATAAATTCATGGAATAACCACCCGCTGGCCAGGCGAGTTCTTCTCCTGCGCTGGAGACAGGAGCTCCTGGGATTTCTGTTACTCCAAAGGGTGTATGAGGCAAGTGGCTCTGGTCCCTACCTGGAATTTATGGATCCAAACACGGAGGACGCGGCGGACACACTCCCGTCTTGTGCATCAGCTGCATAGTGACAAATTCAACACATGAAGGGCTTTTTTTCCGTAAATAAACTGATTTTTTTCCCAAGAGATCCAAAGCAGTAGCTAGGAAAGCCTCACGGAGGCTCAGGCAGCAAGAGCCACGTTTGTCCCTCGCCGCTCCCAATCTGGTGCCCTCGGAGACCGTAATTAGCCACTTTAACGAGGGGCAGAAGCTGCAAATGGAGCAGCGGGTGCGAAAGGAGCCCTGCACTTCCCTCCTCGTCCCCCCGGCGCTTTCCAGACAGATATTCCGGGAAGGAAACGCGGGTGTTTGGCCAGATCCACCTGCAACGCGACTGCCAAGAGCTCCTGCTGAGGGTACTAAAGTTACTGATGATTTTCCCTCAGGAAAAGCGGAAAATGGAAGCCCACGGGGGAAAAAATGAAATTTTAAAAATTAATCAAATCCCAAAGCGACGCTACGGCACAAACGGTAACTGCCCGAGAGGCTCTGCAACCGTGACACCCTCCAAATGCCAAAAATAAGGAGAATTCCTTCGCCAAGGAAGCGGCTGCTCCAAGGACAGGGCTCCCTGCTCCAACGCAAGGGCCGGCGCGAAGGCATCCGCAGCCAGGAGGAACTGGATGGAGCGGACACGAAGCTTCCGAAGATTCCTAGGACGCAGCAGGGAAAAGCTCCACGGTCTTTCCTCACTGGGAAGCTCCAGGAGATGCCACCAACATTCGTGCTCATCCGCTAGCCCATGACTCCATTGCAGGATTAAACAGCTCCCTTCACTCTTACGAGTCCAGTGCCAAACTCAATCCCAGCGGTAATTCCCATGGAAAATAACCGTGTGGGGCTACCAATTGGCCACACTTTGGTTACACCACACGCCGTGACAAAACGCTGCATTTTAGAGGCACATCTCCAATGGCAAAACTCCGGAAAACGATTTTTCCAAAGAAATAACACACGGGTATCTGTCAGCATCCAACTGTTGCCGATCCCGGAGAGGACTAGGATGGAGCTGGCGGGAAGGAGGGCTCAGTTCCGACCTGGAATAGCATCCCTGCATGGTGCTGTCTTCATCCTGTGGCCGGTTTCGCTCCCTGTTCTCCAGCACGATGTCCAAAGGGGCTTGGAAATGCTCAAGCGGGATGCAGCGGGTTTCCAAATCCAGGAGGAAGCCGGGAGCTGCTGGACCACGAGGTGCTCCCGCCTCGGGGCTGGCCAACCGCGGTGCTACCGAAAATAATTCCTTGGTTTGGGAAGCGGGAAGCGCCCGGGCTCCGCAGAGCACGGAGCGGGGGCAACGCTCGCTCCAAGGACGGCCAAAACGTTGCTCGGATCCACAACAAATCCCAGGGCTCCAAGATAGGACACTTGGGAATGAGGCGCCTAAAACCATCCGAAACCGCCACGAGTTCTCGAGCGAGCACGCTAAGAAAGCTCCAGAGCGGGACTTTAGTTAGAGGAAATTTTTAGAAAAGAAAAAGTTGTTGGACGGATTGCTCCGGTTCCTCCAAACCGAGCAGGTTTGTGACCCTTGGAGATTTCTTTTAGGAAACAACGAGCAGAGTTAGGCAACTAAAACGCTTTGGAGCGTCGAGCTCAACGCGACGCTCGCGCTTCGACACCCTAGAGACGGGGCTCGGCTCACCTCAAAACAGCCTAAAACGCAAAAACACCCAAATTGGGCAGAAACGGTTCGGTCCGGCGCCAGCGTCCTCGCCAAGGGATGGACCCACTGGGACCCCACAACCCACACGTGGCCCCGCGGGGTCCAGCGGGGCGTCCGGGGCCAAAACGGGCCGTTTCGGGGGCTAAGACGACGATGCTGAGGAGGGGGAGGAAGGTGCTGGGTGTGTTTACGGAGCACCCCCAAAACCCTGCGGGAAGAGCAAGCCTAAAAGCAAATAACTGAGGAATTAGACACGTTATTCACAGCCGCGTTGGAGATAATGCAGTCGTTAAAAAACACACACACGGCTAACAACCACGCACGGCTTTCGCAGACGAAGGGATACGGCCAGCGGGTGCAAAAATAAACCCAGAAAAGCAAAAAATGAAGGGGGGAAAAGAAAGCGGGGGAGAAACCAGCCATTAGGGCTGCTCTGCCCCGGCCCCGGAGCCGCCGCTCGGCTCTTCCTGCTGCGGGGACGCGGGCTGGGCCCCGCGGGGGGAAGCCGGGAAAGCGAGGGAAGAAACGGAGGGAAAAAGAGGGGGAAAAGGGAAAGAAAGTCCTAGGGGAGGTCGGGAAGGGAAATAATCCTAAAAAGTGCGGAAAAAAATGGCCCCCTGGGGAAAACTGGGACACGTCCACACTGCCTGCCCGCTCGGCGCCGCCAGGCCGCGGTGCTGGAGGCGGCGGCGGGACGGGCCGCGCT